ATGTTTTATTCCTAGCACTGCAATAATAATACATAAATAAATAAATATGACATGAAAAGATTAAAAAAAAATAGTACAAAGAATAGGAATTCTAAATAACAATGGTATTAACAAATAAGGCAAAAATGCCAGCAGAAAGCTGGGCAAGTAATTTCAAAGCTTTCTATTCCCAAGAAGGTAAGATGTTAACAGCAATATATTTACCAAAATAAACTTTTGGAAGAAATCTACAAATAGTTAAAAAGTTGTTGAACTGAAAAAAATAAGTCAATGAAAATGATGTAAAAACAGTATAGGAAAAGGGATTGCAGTTCAGTCATAAAATGCTTGCCTAGCATACCTGGACCCTAGCTTCAAGTCCTAGTATAAGGGGAGGAGTGTATGGGGAACTAGGGAAAGTTATGATAATTTTCTTGCCCATATCTCTTTCCAAGACATGTGGACTAGCAAGACAAGGAAAACACCAAAACGCCACTGTATGTAAGAATAGCTCTTTATAGTTGAAGAAGGTAAAAAATGACTCATTGAAGATGCTTCTACACATATAATAACAGAGATTAGGCATGAAATTGGAGCTAATATGAACATATATTTCCTACCAATTGAATAGTAATACTACTTAAAGATACAGTTTAATCATTTAAACCAAATAAACACTGTCCTTACTAAACTTAATGTTACATAAATACATCATACTTTTGTTCTAGTACAGGAATTCTACATAGGATCCTATATGAATGTTCTCACTATAATGCAACTCACTGCAGCAAATCTACCCAGTTTGGAAAGAATGTATTTTACATGATTTTAAACACATGATTATACGGGGAAATGTACCTAGATTTCTTATGGAATAGTCTTCCAGTGATGTTACCCAGTGTCGTTCTATCTGTATCTGAATGCTTGTACACTAATATGTTCCAATACTGAACTGGGCTTTGTCTTTTGACTTGGATGATCCAAACATTACAATATATGATTTAAATATATCCCCCACTGGTGGTTACACCCTTAGACATGAGACGTGCTGTGCAGAAGGCTTGAGCCAGTCTGTTGGGAGAACACACGCCCTAGCCAAGAGTAGGCACAAGCCACCATATAGGAAGGAAGCTTTCTTAAGCCAGTCAGTTCCAGTCAAGGCCAGTTCTGACCCAGGCGGCACTAGCACAGGAGCTG